GGCGTCCCCGCCACCCGCCCGCCCTCCCTCCCGCACTCACCGGTGACCACGGCCGTGCGGCCCCGCAGGCTGGCGATGCCGCCGCACGGCGGGGCCTTCACCAGGTTGTAGTAGACAAGCACGTAGGCGCCCAGCAACAACCCCGCGCCCAGCAGCAGCGCCTCCATGCCGGCCCCGCCTCCAGGCTCCCCCCAGGCCCCGCGCCGCCCAGGGTCGCGGTCCGGCGGCTGCCAATCCGCCCCGCACGGGCCTGGAAGGGCGCCGGGCGCGCCTTGGCCTCCCAAAGGCGGAGGCGGAGGCTGGCGGGAGGCAGAGCAGGGGTGTGTGTGCGCGCGTGTGCGCGCGTGTGCGCGCGTGCGCTGCGAGCGCCCCCTAGGCGTGCGTCTGCGTCCTCTGGATGTGTGCTTGTGCGGACACCTTCTAGGTGTTGTGTGCGCCTTTGGGCCCTTGGAGCGCCCGCTAGGTGTGTTGCCTGCGTGAACTAGATGCGCGTGTGTGTTGTGTGCATAGGCACTCTGGGAGTGCCCTCTAGGTATGTACATGCACCCACAGTCTGTGAGTGTGTGAATGACTTTTTGGTGTGCAATGTGCCCATGGGCCCTGGGATTGCCCTTCAGGTTGTGTGCATGCCTCTAGATCCTCTGTGTGTGCGTGTACTTGTGGACCCTGGGAGTGCCCTTACGGGTGTGTGCCTGCGTGAGCACCTTTTACTTGTTTGTGCCTATGTGGGCCAAGAGCCCTACCAGGTGTGTGCAGGTGTCTGTAGTCTCTGACAATGTGTGTGCTTGAATGAACATCTTCCTACGTGCGTGTGCCCTGTAGCTAAGGAATTGCAGGAGGGGCTAACGGGCTGTGTGAGCTCTCTGGGTATCAGTATGTAGCACAGTCCTTCCCTTCTGGAGGGGCATGTGTACATGAATGCTGTCACACCCGAGACAGTGAGTCTGGTCTTGGATGCTTTGCCCTCTGTAAACAAGTCCTTCAATTCCTTTCTTCACATCTAGCCCTCAGCTTCTAGGATGCTTCCCTGTTCTTCCCATAGAGGCCAGAGGTGACACAGTGTGTTCAGGGTAGCACCATCAGTTAAGGGCTGTCAGGATTCACTCATTCATTAGCTGTCTATGTCTCCCTGCCTCTGCCCCACCCCCTCAATTTCTGAAGGGAAGCAGGAAGAGATAGAGGATAAAATCTATTATCTGATCCTCAGGAGGAAATTTGTCTCTGGAATGTTTCTCAAAGGTGGTAGCAATAAAGAAGCTCCATCACTCAATGAAAGAAGTGACTATGATGGCAAGGTGGGTGGGGACAGCTAGGGAGGCATGGGTAAGGGCATTCCTGGCCAGGTGACTTGCCAGAAGAAAGGACCTTGCCTGAGAAACCCAGTACAATTTAGCACCCATTGTTTGGCACTTATGGTGTGCCCAGCAGTGTGGTTAGCCATGGAAATACTGAGCGGAACACTTTAAAGAGTTCAAGAAGCCCATCAGGGCAGGGAGAGCAGAGTGGTAGAGACAAAGCTAGGCAGGTAGGTGGAAGCCAGATTCTAGGGGAAGTTTCCTATTTAGCTGCACTGTGGATTCGGGGTTCAACTGTAGCTACTGTGGGATGATGAGGCTGGGGATGGAATATTAATAAAACAAATGGATGCATTCTCCATGCCCAAAGCAAAATCCTGACATGTTAACAGGTACCCCCTACTCAGTGCTGGGATAGACACACAGGTGCTCTCTAAGGAGTGAGAGATTGTCTTCAGGGAAAACTTCCCGGAGCATTTCTCACATAAGGTCTGAGAGGAGGAAAGGATGGAGTTCGGTTTAAGAACAGTTCTCAGGGCCTTAGAATTAAAATAATGCAGTAGACTCGTCCTCTGATGAAGGACTGCAGTTATAGAGAAGATGTGATTCCAAGTCACATCACTTGTGGCACAGCTGGGTCTAGAGACTGGATGTCTCCTTTATCTTCATGATGTTCCCCAGAGACCTCTGAATCAACAAATTGCTCCATACTCGATTCTAAGTTCCAAGAGGCAGGGGCCATATCTGCCCTGATGACTGCTCACAGCAGGTGACCTAGACCAAGACCCAAGTCCTAGCAGAGGCCAGGCACAGGGGAGGAACTCAAGCGATACTTGAGTAAATGAATGAATTATTCCATGGCCAGCCAAGGCTGACAGGAAAAGGACAAAACCAGGTGTTACGACTTCTCCCAGAATAGACAAATAAAATATGGCAGCAAACAACTGGAACCAAAGGCAGGCCTAACTCCTTAGGTTAAAGCTTCTAGACCAGAATGCAGAGGTCTCATGCCAGCTTGTTTTAACGTCTTGGTTTTGGACCCAACGGGAGCAGGGACCTGAACAGTCTTGGATTCTTGCAGAATCTGATCACAACAAATGGTCAAACCCTCTAAACTCCCTCAAGTCACCCACCAAACTGTACAACAGCCCCCCAAGCAGATGCAGCCCTACCCTTCCATTTTGCCCCACCTGCCTTAGGCTCACTTTCCTCCAACACCTCCCCTCTCCTGACTTCCCATGGGGACTGAGTATCTGGGAATGAGACTTGTTCAATGAGACTGTGGGACCAGGATCTCAGGGAGGGTCCCTTCTAAGGGTGATGACAGGTAGGACAGACAGGCAGAAAACATAATTTGAAATATTTTTGTTTTTTTATATACAGAATACAGGAAAGTTTCTGTAAAGTCTAAAACATTACAATTACTATGTACATTGGTACTAGTTGTGGGGGTGGGAGGAGAGGAGGAAGCTGGGGGTGGGAGGAAGAGAAGTGGCAAGAGAACAGAAAAAGGAGACAAAACAGGTTTACGACAAAAACATTTCTGCTACAATAGACAATTTGAAGAAAACGCTCTACCACATGTACTGTACACGGTTTTTAAAAACATTGAAAAAATGTCATCACTAGATGTATTTACACAAAATCCAAATACACTTTTCCTTATTTGAAATAAAATAGATGGACAGCCAGAAAAAGAATTCATTTCTCATTTGTCCATAATACACAGTAGCTACCTGTAGTGCAACCGCTGCAGAAGGGAAAATAACTTGGAGGGTGGGAACATGGAAGGAGGGTGGGTAGCGATCTTTATATTAAATAAAACAATGATATTGTATAGATTTTGCTGTATGAAAACTGTATTTTTTCTTTTAATATAAAACTATTGTCACTGCCACAAAATAGAACAAGTTTCTGATTATTTTACAACGGCGGGCCAGGGGGAGGGAGCAGGATGTGGGTGGGGAATGGTTTTGTGTTGGAGGAAGTGTCCAGACCATGGGCCTTCCCCTCCCTGCCCACACTGTTCCTCAGCTCGGGTCTGCCGCTTTCCCATGAAATGGTGAGTACAAACATATGTGCAAATGCCCCCTAGAACTTGAGAAAAGAAAAAGGATTTTTAAAAAACAGTCAAAAGGTTTTCTTCATTTCATGCAAAGATTGTAGTTGAGGGGTTTCTGGTGGAGTATAGAAAAAACCCGGGCTTGGTTTGTGTACATTTTTGCATTGCAGGAGTCTTGGGTTGGGTGGACAGGCGGGTGACCGGGTAGCCGCCAGTCCTAGGGAACGGAGTTGGAGCGCAGCACAGGGCCCTGGTGGGGCTTGAGAGAGAGCTTCTCGGCCAAGACTGCATCCTGCAGCAGGCCGGCATCGCCTTTGGGCTGTTTGGTCGCAAACTCAGTGATGCTGAAGACAAACTGCAGGCACCCCAGCTTGATGTAGCTGCCATGGTGCAGTAAGGCCGTGCCTTCCCAGCCGGCCCCACTGCCCCCAATCAAGCTCGAGCTGCTGGCTTTGCAGTTGCAGGGTCTCCGCTGCGGCCCCTGGGCCTGGGAGCTCATCATGGCTGCCTCCTCACTTGGCTCTTCATCCTGTTTCTGGTGCCGGTGGCGCCCTGGGAAAAAGGGGGATGGTTACAGGAAAGGAACGGTGAGCAGCCAACCCATGTGGGCTGTTTGCCAGGGTTGGGTCCCTGCACCTCCCCATTCTAACTGCTGCACGAGTAGGGGTGAGGGATGCTCAGAAAGGACTGAAGTCCCCAAGTAGGTGTGTACACATTTGTGGGTACACAGCACTTGCTTCTTCAAGGCCTTCCTTAGGCCCACGAACAAGGAGAACTTGGCCAACAGCATGGGAAGGCAAGAGACAGCAGGTCATCGGCAGCAAGCCAGAGCCACCCTGACTGGGGCCTTGGAGAATATGTCCAAAAATGGCAGACTTTGTGGCCACAGGCCTCTGCTTCAACTTACTGATGACACTCTGCACTTTGGCAACAATACTGCTTGGGGGGGTTGGCGGGGTCTTCTCAGAGAAGTCACATGAATACAGCACATTGTCCACCGTTGTCCCATGCTCACTGTAGTTTAACAGCTCATAATGTTTGGTATTCTGAGGAGGAGGAGGGAAGATAAGATGTGTGGTCTGCTGCGTGGGGCCTGGGGCTAAGGGGAGAGAGGACATATGGAGAAGACTGTGCTGCTCTATCTGGGGAGCTCTCTCTTTCTTCCCCAATCATGCCCCCCTTCCCTGTTCCTTTAGAATGGGGCTCAAGACTCACTTCCTCCCGGAAGCCTTCCTTCCTAGCACCCCACACCCCCTGTTCTCCCATCGCTCCTTTACTCTGCCTCCTCAGCACTGGCTCCTATTGAAATAATATTCACTGGCTCATGATGATGATGAAACTCACAGGGACACACCCAGAGGGCTTGGCTTCCTTTTATGCTGGTTCCCTCCCCTGCTTTAGGGTGGGCTCCCCCTGCTGAGCCTGTGACCAACCTCAGGAGAAACCTGAGGAGCAAGTAGCCATGGTAGGATGCCCTTTTACACCAAGACTCTTCTCCAGGAATGAAAAGAAAAGGAGAAAGAGGGAAGAAAAGGAAAGGACCCTCAACCCCCTTCCCTTCACCCCAGGGCACTGAACAAAATCTCAGCCCCTGGGAGTTGCCTCAGGCTGGGAGAGCTCCCTCTCACCCCATCCCCATCCCTCACCTCATCGTAGAATATGCAGGCGTGTTTCCCGGACACGTAGTTACAGTGACCATAGTTTGTAAGGCACACGTCCATGTCAGCTCCTGCAACGTGGCAGTGGAGGAAAAGGAAGGCAGAGAACAGATTGTAAGGTGCATGTGTAGGGGAGAGGGAGTTAGCTTCTGGGCGGGCACTAGTAAGACCTCAAGGGGCAGGTAGCTCAGGGCCCTCTCCTTGTATTTTTCAACAAAACTGATGTCTTTTCTAATCTCCTGCCAAAGAACAGCTGTCCCTGCCAGCTGATCTGCTTTATAACATGTGGCTGCTGCCCAGAGGGGAACAATGAGCTACTGAAGAGGATGGGATATTTCCATGAGAGCACATGGGGTGCAGGGCTTATAAATCATATCATCTGAAAGAAAGGGAAATTTCTAGGCTAAAGGCTAGTCTGTCTGTCCCTCTGTAGAAGATATAGGGCTAACTAAAGGTTAGATATGTGTGAGCCCCATCACTTTTTCAAAGACCTCCAGGGACAAAGCATTTGCCCTTTTCCTCAGGTATTTCCTGCAGTGTTTGAAATGCCTCACTGAGCAGCAGTCAGAGCTGACTTTAATCTCTCCTGATGCCACGTTGGGCACAAAGCAAAAGGGCCTAAGTCAGGGAAGACAAGCAGCTGCGAGTCTCTGTTCTTAGTCCCTTTTGTCTGGACATCCGTTGGGTCAAACCAGTCAGCTTCCCTCACCCCTTTCTAGCCTCTGTGGGTAAGGGTGTCAGTATTTAGGGCTGAACAGACTCAGCACCTCTCCCAGCTGCCTCACCTGTCCCGATGTAGAGGGTTCGATAGCACATGTTCACAGCTCCTCCCAACCCTAAGAGAGGGTAGAACACAGCTCGAGACTGTACCTCCTTTCTTTGCACTACAAGACAAACATAGGGAAAGGATCATTCAGATACTCAGAACTTAGGACCGACACGCAAACCAACAGAACCTGTAGCTCAAACATAAACCAAGAGAACCTGGACCTTTGGTTCATGGTCTGGAGAAAATAATCCCACTGGAAAAGTCATCTTCCCAAACTCACGTCTGACACCAGGCGGCTTCATGGTGAGGCCTTCTCTCCCCACACACAGCATTTTCAACACGGGGTAAGAAGCACCATCTTTGAAGATGGCCACAGAATTCAAGGATGATAGTACTTTAAACTCCTGGGCTGCTGGTTGGTTTATCGGGGATATACCAGCTGATACTATAGGGAGGCCATGCAAAAAAAAAAGAAGGCACAGACCAATGTTTCTCTAACTTTAATGTGCATACGAATCAGGTAGGAATCTTGTTAAAATGTAGATTCTGATTCCATAGGTCTGAGGTGGGGCCTGAGCTCTGCATTTCTTTTTTTTTTTTTGTGAGGAGATCAACCCTGTGCTAACATCTGCCAATCCTCCTCTTTTTTTTTTTTTTTTTTTTGCTGAGGAAGACTGGCCCTGGGCTAACATCTGTGCCCATCTTCCTCCACTTTATATGGGACGCGGCCACAGCATGGCAAGCGGTACGTCGGTGTGCGCCCGGGATCCGAACCGGCGAACCCCGGGCCGTCGTGGCGGAGCGCGTGCACTTAACCGCTTGTGCCACCGGGCCGGCCCCTGAGCTCTGCATTTCTAACAAGCTCTCAGGTGTTGCTGATGCTGCTGGTCTGGGGACCACACTTTTAAGTATCATAGCTCTTATCGACTAATCCTCAAAGGGATATCCTAAGCAGAGTTAAAGTTTTGGGATGCATTTCCAGAAGGCTAGCCCAACTGTTATTCTGTTTCTCACCTTGAACTTGAAAATTCCCTTCTAGGAAACCCTTCTAATTCAAATATTTGAAAGCAATCGAGCAGAAAGCACACCATATATACCCAAAGGCACTCGTAGTTGCTTTCTGTGTCTCAAAGTGTACATATATGAAAGAGAGTTACAGTAGACTTCCTGGAGTCTGATCTGAAAGCTGTGGTTGCCATCTTGTTCCTGCTTTCTGAGAAAAGAATCCATGGGGCTTTACTGAGCCCATTAAAGGCACACATGGAGGACTGAGATACTGAAAGCTGAGATTCTTCATAGGGGGAGATGGCTGTTCACACAGAGGGGAGATCTGACGGTGCGGTGTGGTGGCTGATGTGAGCATGCGTACCTTCTGTCTGGTGCCCTCCAGAAGCCAGTGGATGTGCCCCGACACTGCCTGGTGAAGCTTGGACTCGGGAGGGGAAAAGCTGATGTATTCTCTGCAAGGCCAGAAACTTGATCAGCTTCTCATCCAGCATATTTATCTCGATTTCTATTAAGCAAAGAGAAAGGTTAAAAAGCAGCTGAGGAGGAAACGGAAGGCAGAAGTAGGTAAGGGTCACAGAGCAAATGGTTCAGCATTTCTAAAATCCAGCCAAGTGATTTTTCTCAAACAGCAAAGAGTACAAAGTGGTACAAAGATCTGGAGCTGGGCATCTCACGAGCCATTTGCAGTGAGACGGGCACCAACGCAGCCTGTACTGATGCCTCCTGCAGTTGGGTAGCTTGATTTTAGGTAAAGTAGAAAGATAGACTAAGATAAACCACTTGCCTGTCTGTGGTGGAGGGCCCAGATGTCTGATACTGAGGCTCAGATTTTCTACCCACCCTCAAAAATCTGCCCCAGTTCTCCTCGACTTTGGGGGTTTCTCACAGATGAGGTCCATCTTGTGGGAGTGAAGCTCCTCCTGGTTTTATTCTGCAAGTCCAGGTGATCTGCCTAAAGTGATTTTCTTCCCGTCTCACTGGTTCAGCTTGGCTCTGCTCTGCCTTCATCTTTGATTATGTGTATATGCATGTGTGTAAGGCAGAGATATGAGCAAAAGCTTTCTTTCCTACCCTACTCCTCTACCCATCTCCTCAGCCCTCTGAGACCAGGCACCTCTTCTGTTCCCCCCCCCTCTTTTTTTTTGGTGAGGAAGATTAGCCCTGAGCTAACATCTGTTGCCAATCCTCCTCTTTCTGCTGAGGAAGATTGGCCCAGGACAAACATCCGTGCCCATCTTCCCCTACTTTGTATGTGGGACGCCTGCCACAGCATGGCTTGATAAGCAGTGTGTAGGTCATGCCTGGGATCCGAACCTGCAAACCCTGGGCCACCAAAGCGGAGTGTGCGAACTCAACCACTATGCCACCGGGCCGGCCCCCCATTCTGTCCCTTTTTGAAATGAGCTGAATGCTGCATAGGGACAGCACTTTCACCCCAACAGCTGGTGGTAGTAGCGGCTCACTCACTCACCTCCATTGACATCCATAAATGCTCGCAGTGAGTTGGTGAGGTCCACCATGGCAGTAGAGTTGGCTGGGAAAGAGGGTACGGTTAAAGCGCTTCCTATGGATAACGTGCCGGGGCTGACCTTGCCATCTGGGGACGGAGCAGGAAGACTGTTACTTACGTCGCCTGAAGGAAACCCACCGGTCCAATCCCCCACTGCCGAGACAGGACTGGATTTCGGACCCAAGGTGATGTTCCCTTCTTGATTCTCACCCCATTGGCTCTGGAACTCCTAGAGCTAAAAACGCGTGGTGAGGAAGGGCAGATGGAACGACAATGCACCCGGGCACGCAGGAGTCTCCAGAGCACCGAGAACCAGTGAAATCTACTGCTCTGGGGAATGTGGTAGGGTAGGCTTCGTTCTCTGGGCCATGGCTACCTCCTGTTGCCTCTACTCATTTAAATAAGTGGTGCCTGCCCCTGCAATTCCTGCCTACTGAAGTTCGACTCACAGGGTGCAAAATCTATCCAGGTTGGTGTTAAGAGAGAAACAGAACATGAAAAGAGCCTGAGTATGGGCCATCCTGGGACCAGGGGCCCCCATGCAGATAAGTCACAGTCACCTGGTCACCGAGACTCCCAGCTGACTAGGAGGCCAGCTTCAGTTCAGACGGGAGAGACCACAGGGAGTTCCAGCAGCATCTGAAACCTGGTTCAGATGCTGGGGTCAGCAACCTTGAGGTCCTGAGTGCTGACTGGGGACAGCTGAGAGAGCAAGTCCACACCGGGCCAAGTAAGGATGTAAGGAACTACCTTTTGGCATTGGGCCTGAGGGCAAGCTTTTGGGCCAGACCAACCTCTGTGGGCATCCCATCCTGCAGCTATTCTGAAAGGCAGTGTTGTTCTCTATCTTTGCTTTTCCTGACATGAAAGTCCCTTCAAACAAGCTGGCTCTGAGAATATGGATCAGGTGAGGATCTAGCCTCTGGTGTGGATCACGAAGCACCGAGGCCACGACCCAGAACCTCAGGCTGACCACAGTGGCTCCAGAGAGCACGCTGCCTTCCTCTAAGGTGACAGAACAAAACAGGCAGACGACTAGGCCTGGAAGGTGTGGGAAGATGGAGTCAGGAGACCCAGGCTGTAGTTCCAATCCTGCACTGACGTGGTAGGTCACCTTAAGGAAATCACTTAAGCTTTCAGAGCTTAAGCAGTCTCACCTATAAAATGGGGACAAGTTAACATGTGCTTTCTTTTCTACCACAGAAATGAGGGGAGGACAAATAATACAGAGATCAAAGTCCTCTGAAATATTCACAGGGATGTAAGTGTTTTTTGAATCTTAAGTCTTATTTGGCAGGAAGATCATGAAAGGCTTAGCAGTACTCACCTGATGATGGCGCTGGTGAGCAGAATCGTTGGTTGGCTGCTGGGGCCAAGATACCATCTCCTGCTGCTTGGGGGGGAGTGAGCACCCGGGTGGCATTTGGGGGTGAGCCCAGTGGCCTTGAATCTGTCAACGGAGGTCCTATCTGTGATTGGACAGTCTTTCTTTGCAAAGTGCTGGTGTTCTCGATGCTGGCACAAGAGCTGGGAATGGAAGGGGGCAGGCTTGGGACAGGAACCAAACTCCTCTGGGGGCAAGAGCTGGGGCCAGTGGCATTCTCTGTCTTCACAATGATGCCGACGGTGTGGTTCTGAAGCCCCCCAGCTGCTGGTGGCGTGAGGGGCCGGGGCCAGCCTTGCCGGTGTGAGAGGCCTGGCAGGGGGGTGTTGGCGCCTGGAAGTCGCCGGGGGTCCGTGGAATCAGTGGGGCTGCTGTAGAGGTGTGGGCCATTGGCTTTCACCTCTGTGTTCACTGGCCCGTTGGCAGTCCCACAGGGGACTTTCTTGGATTTTTCCGCACAAGAACTGCAGCTGATGTCCTCTAGGGCTGGGGGCTGGGGGGGTGGAGAGCAGCTCAGGGAATTCTGGGTGCTAATCCCTGAGGGGCAGGACAAAGGGTAGTGGGAAGGTATAGGTGCCTTGTCAGCTGTTTGCAGGGAGGTGGTGATTGAGCTGTCAGTCACAATAACAGGCTTAATATCAGCCTTCTCTGTCTGTTCAGAGTCCCAATGCGAAGGCATCTGCTTAGCAGATAAATGTTTCAATATGCTGCACTGGAGCGCAACAACACTACAGAGCCACTGCAACGGAAGGAGAGGAGAGGAGAGGAGGGTGAGAGGCCTGGGAGGCGCTGGTCCTTCCTGCCACAGCGGCCAGGGCTACAGCAGAGCTGACAAACACTGTTTCCGAGGTCCCATCGCGAATGCCCAGAAAGGGTGTGCTTGACTCCTGATAGGATTCCATTTCCATTCCCAAGCAAGACTTGTTGGTACACTCAGCAGGCAACACCCTGGTCAGCAGAGCTTGGGATTCCCGTTCTGGCTCTGCCCCTAACCACCTCTGACCAATATTCAGCAAGTATCCTAAGCACTTGCTGTGTGTCCAGCACTATCACCTAACCTCTCTATGGGTCTACTGATCTCTTTCTACAAGACAGATTTGCCCATCTCACAGCACAGTGGGGGACCGATGGAGAGAAGCAGACTGGTGGACTCTGTAGCTCTCTTACTTGCCTCAGGATTTGAGCCAGAGGTTCTCTCTGGAACATTCAACTCTTGGGGGGTGAGGGTGGGGTTGTAGAAGATGGGAATGAGAATGACACTGAGGCTACTTCCAATAACAACTGCGGAGAGATGGAAGGATGACTGGATGTGGAATCCCAGCCCTGTCTTCACTCACCTCTTGCTGCTCTGCCTGGGTGGCTAAGTGCTCAGAGTTCAAAAGGTGCGTCTGTGATTCCTCAGGGATCCCATTGCAGATCAGCTCCCCATCCCGAATGGCCGCAGGTGCAATGAGAGGGGGTGGAAATTGGTACTGAGATTTTATAGCATCGGGAACCTGTTCAGGATAGACAAAAGGAGGAAGGAGAGGGAGATAGTGCCAACATGTCCAGTTGATTCTGCCCTGGCTACACTCTTCTGTCTGTGGTGCTGATGCCCAAGGGATCACCATCCACTCTGGGATTCACTGAGGACAAGCTCAGTGGGCTGCAACTGCTCTGTGCTCCCATCTCTTTGACTCTGGCACACACACACCAGCCTGAGAAGGCAAAGAACTGGAAACACCAGGCATGTCCCCTACTTTTCTTCATCAAGGTCTAAGGCCTACAGAAGCCAGAAACCATTGCATGCTGCCTCTACTTTGGCCTAAAAAGTGTAGAACTGACACTAGACAAGGCTTCAGAGTGGTACTGCAGGCTCTTATTGCTCAGCATCAAGTTTGGGAGGTGAGTGAGCAGCATCTGGGAGATAAAAAGTTAAGTGAGGTCATATTCACAGTGGACATGCTCAGCACGAGGCCTGGCTCACGACAAGCACTTAATCAATGTCAGTTTTCGTCATCCATTCATTCATGGCTCATGAAACAACTGAAGACCTCTTTGTTGCACAAAGACAGAAGACACACTCTGAATCACACCATGTAAGAATGAAAGAGCCACACAAGCAAAGAGTCATTCATACGTTCAACTAACATTTATTGAGCACCTCCTGAGTCTGGGCACTGTGCCAAGTCCTAGAGATCCAGAGATGAATAAAACTTAAGCCTTGCCCTCAAGGAGCTCACAGTCTAGTGGGCAGATAAGCACAGAAACATCACAATACACTGTAACGGGTCCTAGAATAGAGGCATGTCTAAGAAGCTATAAAAAACACAGAGGAGAGTGCTACTTTCTATCTGGAGGACAGGAGCTGGAGATTAGGGAAGATTTTATAGGAAGGCAGTATTTGAGCTGAGACTCGGAAGTCGAGAAGAAACTTCCAGGCAGACAAAGGAGAACTAAGGGTAGCAGCATACAAGGCACAGTGATGTGAAAGCACTTGGTAGATTTGGAAAACATCTGGAGAACCAACAGATTTAGTGACCAAGTCCTTATGGAGGATAAAGGAAGAAGAGCTGAAAATGGCTCCCAGAATTTTGGCTTGAGGGACTGGGTGCAGATTGCTGTCATTCACTGAAACAGGAAATACAAGAGGAAGAGCAGATTTGGAGGCAGAAGACTTTTGGTCTTGGGCAGGTTGAGACTGAGGTGTCTGTGGGATGGGCAGGCAGATATGAATCTGGATATGAGGAGAAAGGCAAGGAACACGGAATTGAGAGTCATCACCATTAACAGTGGTGGTCAGTGCCATGGGCTTAGCTGAGGTCACCCAGGAATGGGAGGGGGAGGAATGGAGTGGTAGGCTAGTCTAAGGTTGCCCCTGGGGAAGAGTGAACGTGGAGGAGGAAGAGGAACCCCCAATAAAGGTAGAAAGTTCTCAGCCAATTTTGCCTGCACTGCTATACATCAAGGACAAAGGTCAACGTTCCGGACAGAGCTGGAGCAGTTGCCCACCACTGTCCTCTGGTGCTACAGTCTTCACTTCACTCTCAAACTGTCCAAGTACAAAATGCTTTTCAGGCAACTTGTGTCCTTGGATTTTCCTGAATAGGGAAACATTTACAAAAGGGGAGTGGGGGACGGCCCCGTGGCTTAGCGGTTAAGTGCGCGTGCTCTGCTGCTGGTGGCCTGGGTTCGGATCCCAGTTGCGCACCAACGCACCACTTCTCTGGCCATGCTGAGGCCGCGTCCCACATACAGCAACTAGAAGGATGTGCAGCTATGACATACAACCATCTACTGGGGCTTTGGGGGAAAAAATAAATAAATAAAATTAAAAAAAAAAAAAAAGGGGGGAGTGGGCATCATAAAACGACAGGATTTTATCAAGGCCTCCTGGCTTATTATTCCCTTCAGCAGCCAGGCTCTCTTCCAAATCTACATGGTACCATATGCAGTCTAGATTACTTTTAGATCTGTTTAACTAAAGTATGAGGCATGCCACCTCTAATATATGCTACCCCCAACCGAAAACACCTTAATTTAATTTTGGAAAACTGGTGTTTCCACTGAAGTGTAAATATTTACACAGTTAAGAGTATGTTATACAATTTTCAACAGTTAACATCTTGCTAGCGCTGACACCCACTGGAAGTGACAGGAGTGGCGTACGTGATTTTAAAGTGTGGCTGCCACCAAGTGGCCATATTTGAGAATTGCTGGTTTCCATTGGCACACAGCACTGTCTGCGGGATTATTTCAAAGGAGAAAAATCAAGTTTATATATGGGTATATAGTGTTGGGCTCCCTAGGTTAAATGAAAGGGCTTGAATGGTTTATGAGAAACAGCCTCAACACCACCTAATGGTTTTCACTGAAGGAAATTTTTCTGTCAATCTCTGTAGATACACTTGAGCAACTGTCAAGTGCTTACAAATGTTAGGTATTATTACAGTAATGCCCCAATTTGGAGTATTGGTGATATATTAACAGCAGCCTGGAAAAATAGGTTTAACTCTCCTTTAGACATTTTCCTCCTAAGTTCCTCAGCTAGGATAGCTCCTCACTGTCCACATGGTCCTCTGCTTAATCACCCCGACCTTCACCTCACCAGACAGCTCTGGGAAAGGGGCCATCTAACAGGAACAGACAGCATGAGTGCCAGGCAAGGGGCAGTAACAGCAGAGTACATCTAAAGTTTGGAGGGAGGGGCCAAGGATGCTTATCCTCAGGAGAACTAGAGACTCACAGTTTAAAGGCCTACTTTGGCGTTTGGCCCTCATAATCCTGACCACCATCCTCAAGTATTAAAATGCATGGTCACATTCATTACTTGCTAAGACACAACAGACAAATCTCAGAGGCTTCAGTCTCCCTATCTGTGAAATTGAGACCATGATCCTCTGTGCAACCCATGAAGGCAATCAGAGACCACCATCCTGCCTGCACCAGGTTGTGACTCACCTTCAAGCTTCTTCTTTTGACTGACTGGAGCACACGGCGGTTAGGAGGGTGCTTCTTGTGGATTCGGTTCAGGAAGTCCACTTTGACAACATGCTGCGAAATGGTGTCCTGGAAACGGTCAAACACCTGGCATCGATTGCTCAGCGTCATATTCTTCTGGTTCAGCTAGGGACAAAGCAGACACAGTCCTGCAGTGAACCTCAAAAGTGAGCCCCCTCCCAACTAACTTTACTCTCTAAGTTTAAAAAACAGGAGCCCTGGGCCAAACAGGTTGGGGCTGGTATGTCAACACTCCCGTCAGAGGGCCTGGGAATGTGGATGAGACTTTCTCCCTCAGCCCTGCCCATTCCAGCGAGGGAAGACTGGTATGTTCCCATTCCCTAAAGAGGCTTGAGGGGGACAGGAAAACAGGGAATTAGCCAAGAAGCACCCTTCCAAATTCAGCCTCTGAGTCTTCTGTCCAGCTCAGACTACCCTTTGTACCCTACAGAGCACAGGTTTCAAAGGAAATGCAGGCCTTGGCCCTCAAGAGACCCAGACTCCCTTCTTAGCAAGGGACTCTCTCCCACAGGAAGCAGGACTGTTTCCCACATAGGATATACAGGAGCTTGGCTGACAGCTGGGATCAGCGCTAGAATACTGTCTGCCCTGCCCTATTCCTCCTCCATGGTACCAGGGAGAATCAGTGAACCCATCTGGATTATCAGTGTTGCTCTACAGGAGGTGGAAAACCTTGGACTGCTCTCAGAGGCCGAAGGGAGGAAAGAAAGTTGTTTGTGAAGCAGCATATAGAAATGATGCCACTCTTCTTCTTCTACATCTGGTCCCCCACACTTTATTCCAAAAGAAAAAATCTGTGTGGCAGCTTCCTAATTAGTAAATTAGGAAAAACCCCTAAGTGGCTAATAAAAAATTACCCAACTAATAATTTCTCATCTGCTGGAAAGCTGCTCTTTAAGATTCATATTTGGCTAGACTACTCATGGCTGTTTTTTTCTGGTTCAGCAGGAGTGTCCTTTCTGAGCAGCATTAGTCAATTTTTTTTTTTTTTTAAAGATTTTTTTTTTTTTTTAAAGATTTTTTTTTTTTTTTTTTTCCCCCAAAGCCCCAGTAGATAGTTGTGTGTCATAGCTGCACATCCTTCTAGTTGCTGTATGTGGGACGCGGCCTCAGCATGGCCGGAGAAGCAGCGCGTCGGTGCGAGCCCGGGATCCGAACCCGGGTCGCCAGCAGTGGAGCGCGCTCACTCAACCACCAAGCCACGGGGCCGGCCCAGCATTAGTCAATTAAGAGGGCAAAGCAACTCCTTTCTTCCACGTGTACACTCTGTAACTGAAGTTTCTCTCAGTGCAAGGTGGGAAGCACACTGTCATGCTGAGGGCCAATAGTTATTCCATGGTTATCACCATTTGATAGACAATGTCTTAAGCAATAACCTTTTATTAGGAAAGCTCCTCAAGTCCTCTCTCATTCAATCTTGTGAGTAACTGTTCTAAGTGCCTCTAAGGAAATGTCCTAAACCTCTTTTGGAGATAGCAAACTACAGTTCTGTTCTAGCCCCAGGAAGCAGTCTGGAAAATGTACCCAAGAATCCTGGGAGATAAGATAATAGCACTCAACACACAATTCATTCATTCAACAACTTACTGAACACCTATTATGTGCCATGACAAGGAGGTTGTAAAGAATTAAAGAGAAGGGAAAGAGCCTCATTTGGTGCCAAGGACACATTAGGTGTTCAATAAATGGTTGACTGTCTGGAATACCATTATGTATGTCAATTCTCCAATTCTCCAAAGTTATGGGGCAGTTAACTGCCAGTGCTAATACCTGAGGTACGAGAATAAACAATTTAGAACTTTCTTAGTTTGTTCCCTCTAAAAATAAGAGGCAGAAAAATATGGAAGCAACCACTATGAGAGTATTTATCTGCATAAAGTTGGATCTAATATACTCCCCTTTTAGGGCTGTAACATAAACTGCTTAATTCATTGTGGGAGAAATTATTCACGAACAACCAAGCACTAGTGGGTTAAATAAGTCTGCCTGTGTAGCTAAAATAAGGCATTGTGGGAAAAGGCAAAATGCACAGCTGAGGCATGTCAAAATAATCAGAAATGAGTAGGATGGTCTGGAGAAACCACTATCTGAGAGATTATAGTGAACTCTGGTACAAAGCTGACCTTACTATGCTTTCTACTCAATCAGTCCACGCCCCAGCTGTGTCCGTACAGGATTGTAAGGGACACTGTTGTGCTTACCACCACATGTTCGATGTGATTCGGACACATCCATCTGCCCAGGGGCATGGCAGTGAGCGGTGGCTCGAGGCAGTCCATGTGGAACAGGAGGGGGCAATAGTCACACTGGATAAGAGGGGCCACACGGCAACTCCTGCAAAAAAGAGATGTAGGCCATGTCTGTGGCAAGACAGGAGAATTCAAACCAACTCTGCACTGTGGAACAGCCCCTACTCTTTAATCCTAACAACATTCTCCCACATCCTTCTCCCCCAACGATTCAGTTACATTCACGATTAGGAAGATGGATGAAGGTGGGGCCTACCACCAGGCTCTCCATTATTCTCTAAGAGGAATGTGTCTTGTAGGGAAGTGAATGTTTATTTGGAGTACTGCTAAAGTGGCTGTCAGAGCAGGAATGATCAATGCTCAGTACCTACTGGAGGAAGACAGCCAACTCTACTCTGATCTTTCTAGTCCTTAGAAGAAAGCAACTACCTCATTAAAAAAAAATCACTAGCAGCCTTTTTAGAGTCTTATACCACAGCAAGAAAAGATTCCTCTTCCGCATGAAGCACTCAGCAAAACTAACCAGGGAGAGTTGTGCTAGGAAAATGACTTTGTAATGTATCCATGTAAGCATAGTTCAAGGGAAGGGGCTTAAGGAGCTTAAGCAAATGCCAATTATGATTTGTAACCATGATGCTCTTTGGGTCCTGGAGATGCACTGGAGCCACAGTTTGGCCTGGCTCAGAGCTCTGCTGCTTTCATTATCTAGTTCCCTACAGCTTTTGCTGTGGAACATCTCTTTTGGATAGCTATTTTCTCCTGCTATCCTGCTCTTCCAACACGTCCAAGCCAACAAGTCCAGCCTCAGTAATTGAAGCAGCTGGTTCCTGTCACTGAGGAGATCCTATTTGAAGGAAACCAGTGTCCCAGGGAAGCTACAAATGGGGCAGCCTAGAGGCTTTTGGAAGTCATCCAGTCTGATGCATACTAGCTACCACAGATACTTATACTACCTTTAAACTCATCATTAGTGATTTAAAAATTATTTGCCTTTTCCAGGGACTTGTGTCTCTGCTGGCCAGAACTCTTCCTGCTAGCTAGTCTAAATATCTCATGCTTCAGTTTAAGTCCAACTCCTCTCATTCTAGCCTCTATAAACACAGTTTACAGTACTTCTGTATTGTGATTCTTCAGGGAATTTGTTGTTAAAGACATGCAAGGCTCTGGTCAATGAGTCACTCAGTCTCTCTGTACTCATATCATCAGAATATGGGTTATCCACATTTAACATACATGGTTTGGAAGAGGTGATGGGAGAGAAAAAACATCGTTTGCTGAATATGAGGAAGAGCCCCTTAGTATAGAAGAAAAATACCTGTTACACGTGAAGCAGACCTTGACTGGTAAGGGAACGAGACCATTGTGATCTAACTCGTGCTGTGTCTTCTTAACATTTTTCCCTGTGGTTTCCTCCTTTCTTCTCCTTTTGCTAGAACCTAGAAGAGAAATTGGTGGTGCTGAACTTTCCCTGGATGCAGAGTTCCTAGCCTGGGATATGGAAACAACAGTAAGTGAAAGGAATAGATACTAGTAACACAGCATGTGCCATGGATCTCTTTCTGAGGCCCTCCGGGGCTGGTGTCACATGAGAAAAAGAATGAAAAGAGAGGAAAAAGGAGACTGAAACGTAAGTCAGAATCAGGATCAGAAGTCACTCATTATATGGCAGAAACACATCTAAATGTTTTGCAAACATGACGTGGTCAGGAGCCTACCTAGGTTAGATACTGGCAACCTAAGAAATACAAATGCCAAAGTCAACTGGTCAATACAGACTATTCTGTGGAGGTGGCTAAGGAAGAGACTACAATTTCACTGCATTTTTATAAAAATCAGAAAATCTTTGATTCCATATGTATCCTACTGATCAGTAGGTTTCTTTCTTTTCTGTTTTTTTTGTGAGAAATATCAGCCCTGAGCTAACATCCATGCCAATTCTCCTCTTTTTGCTGAGGAAGACTGGCCCTGGGCTAATATTCGTGCCCATCTTCCTCCACTTTATATGGGACGCCGCCACAGCATGGTCTAACAAGTGGTGCGTCAGTGCGTGCCCGGGATCCGAACCCAGGCCGCCAGCAGCGGAGTGCGCGCACTTAACCACTATGCCACAGGGCCGGCCCCATCAGTAGGTTTCTTAAGCCTACCAATTCCACTTTCTCTGGGAAGAAGAAAATAAGATATAGAAGCTACGCGGTATCAAGTAGAAGTCATGACTTAACAAAAAAAAAAAGGGAAGGGGGCAATTTGGTAATATCTATCACAACTATAAATGCATAGTTTTTGCAATTCTAATATTAGGAATTTATCCTACAGATACAGTCATATATATACAATGATGTATTTACAAAATTATCCATTGAAGTACTATCTACAGTAACAAAAGATTAGGAACAACCTGAATGTCTATTAATAGGAAATTAGTTAAATAAATTATAATACATCTATATAATAGACTATTATGCAACCATTAAGAAAAACTGAGGAATGTCTATATTCGTATGGAAAGATCTCTAGAGCATATTGTGAATTGAAAAAAGCAAGGTGTCAGGCCGGCCCGGTGGCTTAGCGATTAAGTGCGCGCACTCCGCTGCTGGCGGCCCGGGTTCGGATCCCGGCGCGCACCGATGCACCGCTTCTCCGGCCATGCTGAGGCCGCGTCCCACATACAGCAACTAGAAGGATGTGCAGCTATGACATACAACTATCTACTGGGGCTTTGGGGGAAAAATAAATAAATAAAATCTTAAAAAAAAAGAAAAAAGCAAGGTGTAGAACAGTATATCAAGTATGCTATTTAAGGGGGAAATAATAAGCATATATCTGTTATTTGCTTACATACGCACAAAGAAATTCTAGAAGGAGATACACAAGAACCAAACAGTGGTCATCTGTCACGGGCAGGAAGGTGGAAATTAGGCAAATGGTAGACAGGGGTGGGAGGGAAAGTTTTCCATTCTAAGCCTTTTCATATTTTTTGATTTCCGAACCATGTAAATGTATTACCTATTTTTTTAAAAAAGCGATACTGGGAAGGGCAGAAAATAAAAAATTGAATAAGCACAGTAAAAGCTAAAACCTTCAAACATCTTTCCAGGAAGAACCAAGAACAGGAGTCTGAGACAGTGACTCCACAGGCAGCACTGCCCTTTGGCTGGACAAGAACCCTTGGAAGCTGGGGTGGGGGAGGGGATATGATGGCCTGGCTAACCTGGTAGTGCGGTGGTACAAGTCAGTTCATTGGGCAACTGAAATTGGGTGGGGTTCCGCTCCATGGCGGCAGCAATCAGCAGCTCAAAGGGCCGTCTTAGCTGGGGCTGCACATAGTCCGACTCTGCTGCCACTGGCTCCTCATCCACGTCAATGATGTCCTCGTCGACGTCGTTCTGCTCAGAGGTGGGGGTCTCTGTGCTGGCGTTGGATGTGGGCGTGCCAGGCCGGCTGGCTCTCCTCTCCAGGATCCGGGCATGAGCAATGGCCTTGAGTTCAGTTTTGCTAGCTGATCTGTCCAACAAGTCAGTGTCACTGCTGGGGGATGTAGTCCGTTTGCCAGATTTGTCCACTAGTCCATTGACATGGCCCAGTTCCTTTTTCTGTTCTCGTTTCTGTGCAAATGAATAGGTGGGCACATCACATTAAGTACCACAAAATAGAAAGAGATGGCTGCTACAAAATCCTGCTAGACTGCTAACCAAAATGAAAGTCTCTAACATATCACAGACTCATCCACCTGGATACTTGGAACGCTGGTCTGTTAAAGGTCACAAAACTATAGCTGAACTAAACTAAAGCTGGCAAAACTACTGCAGCAGGGAATCACCAAAAAGAATGGAAAGTTAGAAACAATTATACCAATCACACATCATTCATCATCATATGATACACAATATCTCTATAGAAGCCCAGGGGTAAAGGAATAAAAAGTTAACACAGTGAAATAAACATAGTGAGACTGAGTGACAATAACACAGTAAGACTCAAAGAGATCACTGTAGTTTGCCTTGGAGCATTGTTGACTTCCTGAATGGTATTAAGAACTCTCCTCAAAACAAAGTCTGTAAAAAGTAAAATAGGCAATCAGAGCTCCCTGTCCAGAGAGGGTGGGTGCTGGCACAGAAGGCAACCATACTACAAGGTGGAAGGGTGGTGTGTGCAGGGTAGCAACCCAGCAATCATGGTGCCCAAGAATGGTGGCCTTCAATGTTTCAAGCTCCACTAGAACTCAGAAAGTGACACTTCTTTGAACTGGAAGGTAGGAAAACAGAAAAAGACTAAGTGTACTCAGTAGGACTTGATGACTGATAATACTTTTTCCTCCATAACTCCAAATAGAGTGGTCAAATGAAGGTTTAACACCGGTCTCCAGTCAGGAGACCTGGGATCTTGTCCCAGTTCTGCCACTAATTCCCTATGACCTTGGGTGACTCAGGCTGGTGGGCAGGAATTTTTCTATCTATAAAGTGAGACTATTAAAACCTTTTTTCTCTTCCTCTCAGGGATATGGTACAGATAAAGAGGGTCATATACATAAAAGGGATGGCTCTGAGCTGGGGGAAGATCTAGCCTCCACTAGGAACAGGACCTGAACATCAGAGGTTCATGAGGCCTAGAGGATGTATCATTTCAATCCACTTCAGCGTACCACAGGAGGCCAAAGGCGGGTAGAGATGGTGGTGGTAGAAAAGGCTGATTTGGCACTGGCAGGCAAAGAGGTCCATCAGAGAGCAGGTCAGAGTGGCATTTCAGGAAAAGCACACTCTGTTAGAGAAAGGCATACTTTTTTTTTTTTGTGAGGAAGATCGGCCCTGAGCTAATATCTGCCAATCCTCCTCTTTTTGCTGAGGAAGACTGGCCCTAGGCTAACACCCATGCCCATCTTCCTCTACTTTTTATATGGGACGCCGCCACAGCATGGCTTGCCAAGCGGTGCATGGGTGCGTGCCTGGGATCCGAACCAGCGAACTCCGGGCTGCCGCAGTGGAGTGCACGCACTTAACTGCTTGCGCCATCAGGCTGGCCCCTGAAAAAGGCATACTTTTTAATCCCCAGTAAGTAGCTCTGCTTTTAGAAAACTGATGCAGAGGTAATAGAGATTTGGAGTGAGACAGAATTTGGTTCAAATCTTGGCTCTGTCAATTCCTTTGAGTCCTTGGGAAAGTTACTCTACTGTTACTCTACTCTACATTTGTGAGCCTCAGTTTCTTCCTTCCTTTCTAAAATGGAGATACTACCACCAGCACCCATAGATGGCTATATGGATTAAAAGAGATAAGATACATAAAATATCTGGCATATGATGGGCACTAAAATAATGTTAGTTCCTCTTTTCCAGGCTTCACTTCTTCTCCCTCAGCTGTTCTTAACCTTTTCACGTCCAGCTTCTTTGAGTGGCAAATTTCTGAAAGACTCCCTGGCTGGCAGGTACCACTAAGGAGTCCTGCTCTAATTTAACTGGGGATGCACATGAAGAGATCTTGGGAGGTGGAGATGCTGCAGGACAGCCTGGTTTGTGGACTTCAAGAGAAATCAAACTACAGCTGTGGTTAGGTGGCTGACTTGGCCGTTGCTTGCTTTTTATTTTTTATTTATTTATGTCTTTTGTGAGGAAGATTAGCCCTAAGCTAACATCCGTTGCCAACCCTCCTCTTTTTGCTGAGGAAGATTGGCCCTGGGCCAACACCCATGCCCATCTTCCTCTACTTTATATGGGATGCTGCCACAGCATAGCTTGACAAGCGGCACATCGGTCCGTGCCCAGGGTTCCGAACCTGCAAACCCTGGGCCACCGAAGTGGAGCACATGAACTTAACCGCTACGCCACCAGGCCAGCCCTCTTTTCTTGCTTTTTAATAGAAACCCTCGTGCACACATTGAAAAATAATGTCTCCCTAACTGTTTACCTTCTTCTTAAAGGCTGAAAACTGTTACATACATAAACCACAATCTCTGAATCATCTCATCCTGTTTCTGCAACCAAGGAAGTCATCATTCATTGTGACATCATGTTCAGGGGCCAGGAAAACAGAAGTGATGTCACAATAAAGGAAAGTTGCTTGGTATATAATTAGTGTGGGGGGAGGGCAGGGGGTGGTTTACAATTCACAGAAAAATTGTAATCCACAGCCTATAATTTGAGGATTGGGTCTCTTATAACCTGGGTGGAAACACATCTACTTCCTTTTTCGATAAGGGGGAATTTAGTTTTGCACCTCACAAGAGATCTCAAAGTAGAAAATAACGTTCTCAAAGCCAGTACTGAATTATTAAATCTGAGGGAAGGGGAGCTAAAGAGAGATTAGGCAACCTGGGGTACCAGTGGGCTCAAAGTCCTCTCACCCCCATACACCTGGCCAAGCCTCTGGACACCAGTGACTTATTTGCCTTGGAGTAAGGGGAATTCTTTTTTCATCAAGCTGGAGAAGCAGCCTTCTTTTTCTTCAGCCACTTTCAGTCAGGGATACAGCTGCCGCATTCAGGCTACTTATTAGGAGGTCTACAAGGAGATCAGACTACTCCTGTTACTAGTGAATGAACATGGCTCAGGAAATTAACACACCTCTTCTGCCCATTTCAGCAGCCCATGTTTGGATTTTAGGCCCTACTGGATTCCAAAGAGTCACCATGGGGAGACTGAGGGTAATTCCAGGGCTAGAAGAGACAAGAAGAAGGGACGAAAATGCCTTCAGGGCCAGGTCATCTCAGCTCTAGAATATCAGTGCTCTAGATCTGGCATTCTGAGCAAAGCCTTCAGAAAGCAGCATTATTACCTTTCGGCGAACAGTGCACCGGTGACACATCCACTCCCCAGGAGGCAACATCTCTTCACTCAGTGGAGGGTTACTGCGGGGAAAAGACAAGGGCAAGACTAAGTAATTTACCCTGTATGCAGCAGGAAAAAGGCTAGCTAGGTCTGGCACAAAGCCATATGTCCCTCAACTCCTAATTTGGCCAGTCCTGCAGCACTGCTAGGGTTCTCTCATCCTTCAAAACGCGTACTTGGCATCATTTATAATAACCTAAGGAGTGAGCATCCCTTCCCACATCTTAGAAAGAGAAGCCAAATCCAGAGCTATTTATACTGGGCTTACAGGAAAAGATATAAAGAACTAGTTTGGAGCCTTGAGAGTCATTGCCAAACGCCGCGCCATGCTAATAAAAGTCTCTGCTAGGTCCTCCACACTCTTCAAAGTCTGTTAGTGTAAGCCCAAGCTCTTACACCTGCTGTTCAAAGGCCTCTGTAACACGGTCCCATTCCATCTTCCCAGACCCCTTTCAGGCAACCTTCTGCCTAGTCAAATTAAAGATTTGCTATTTCTTGCTCTAGAACACTCTTCCCCTAGGAAAGCTATGCCTGTCAAAATCCTATTCATCTTGTAAGGCCTGCCTCAATCAGCCTATGGTAGATTACAGATGCTGCCAATTCTTTGCTACTCCTTCCATCCAGAGGTAGTCCATTTCCTTCTTCTTGAATTGGGCTTATCTTGTGACTTGTTTTGACCAATAGAATGCAGCAGAAGTGACAATGTTGTAACTTCCAAGGCTGCGTCTTAAGAGACCTGCAGATTCCATTTTTATATGCTTGGAATGTTCCATCTCAGAGCCCTGCTGTTATGCTGAGAGAGGCTACATGAAGGAGACTTATGGCACTCCAATTAACAGCTTCTGCTGAACTCCACGCCAATAGGCAGCACCAACTACTGCTATGTGACTGAGTCATCTTGGACCATGCCAGGTCAGTTGAGGCTCCAAATGACTACAATCCCAGACAAGAACATGTCAGACAGAAAAACCACCCAGCTGAGCCCAGTCAACCCACAGACTTGTGAGAGATAATAATTAGCGTCTGTTTTAAGCCACTGAGTTTGGGGGTAGTTTGTTACACAGCAATAGATAACTGAGCACAGCTCCTCCATATGCTCTTCCTGGATTACTCAGACATCCTGGACCCCTGGCTGCATGGTTTAGTTCCTTTTTGGCACTTCTCATGCTTTCCCTTATGTCACAATTCTCTTATTTTTTTACTAGAGGGACCAAGACAAGGATTGGATGTCTTCCCTTTTTGTATCTTTTTATAATATAGAGATTGTGCACATAGTAGTCACCTCAGTAAGTCAATACTGAATCCAAATTAGAGCTGTGAAGGGCTGGCCTTACTGATCCTCCAGATCTTTGATTTCCATTAAGGTTACACTAAGAGCCATATGAGACTTTATTCAATTCTTGGGAGGGTCACATTTATAATGTCTATACAGCAGTGGTTCTGAGTGTGGTCCCCAGACCAGTAGCATCAGCATCATCTGGGAACTTATCAGAAATGCAAATTCTGAGACCTCACTTCAGGCTTATTGAATCAGAAATTCTGGAGGTAGGGTTCAGCAATTTGTGTTTAACAAGCCCACCAGGTGATTCTGCTCAACAATAAAGTTTGAAAACCACTGCTCTACAGAATAAGGCTACATTTATGCTTAAGAAATTCCTACATTTGGTTCTTGTTCCTGGGAGTCACCTACTTGAAACGGTGAAGAGGAAATTTTTCTTCAAAGATTATGAGAAATAATAAAAAAATATTTGAAGGTTGAATATGTAAGGACTCTCCTTTAAGTCCCAGGGCTTAATGCTATGTTGCTTTACCATTTCTACCTAAAACAGCACTTGGCTTGGCAAATTTTCCTAGCTCCTGCTTTGCCATGCTTCCCTAGAACCCTGAGCATACATGTCAGGATGCTCACCAAGCCCTCACAGCTCAAGGATTCCTTTCCCCTATTTCCTTGGTGGAATCCCAGGAGGATCTTTACCAGGAAGCAGAAAACTAGAGGCACATTGGCCTGCTGGGACAGGTCTTCCAAAGCCCTGGAGGACCACAAGTGGATGTCACCCATGAAGTCTTCCCTAGTTGTCTCCAATGTATTTCTGCATAGGCCACATCCAAACCAATGAAATGCATGCATGTAATCTGCAAAGGTCTACAGACTCTGCTATGCTTCAGCAGCTGTCATACTAAAATTAACCCTGAAAAGGCTGTCACTTCTGATTCTGTTTTTCATCATTTCTCTTCATCTGCCCACTGGCTTTGTACCAAGATAACCTACACCAAACATATAAAGCAGAGAAGGGTGAGGCAAGGTGGTACAGGCTTAGATCTTTTACTAAGATGTGAATGAATGCTCTCCTGGCCGCCCTTCATGCTTCCCTGAATCTACCCAATCCTACTGGCAGAATGATTTATTTAAAACACAACTCTGATCATATCCTGAGAACTTCCCCACCTCAGCTGCCCATCTTAGAGCTCCTTCCCCCATAAGAATGGTGTTGCCATAAGTTTAGTGTGCAACTTTGAAACAATTATATGCATACCAGAGTCTTTAAATCATGATATGCCTGTTAAGAAAAACAAGGCTCTGTCCCAGCTCCCTCTCATCCCCATATATCAATGAAGAAAGGGTGCTGGGGCAATTCTCTACAAAAGGAAATGATTAAAAGTTAGAAGTCAGGTAAAGCCAAAATTACTTTATCAGAGTTTCCGCTGCTCAGCAATGAAAACACTATGATGTGCCAGTGTTGCTTGTAAAGACATCAAATGCTTCCTAATCACTAAAGCTTAGAAATAGCAGAGTGATAATCTCATCTTACATCTAGATAGTGTATTACAGTTCACAAAGTGTTTTCACAGATGCTCTTATTTGATCTTCACCACTATACTGTGAGAATTAATTCTTACTCCCATGGTACAGGTGAGGAAACCGACTTAACTAAACCCATGGAGCCAATAAGTAGCAGAATTAGAACCCAAATCAGCTCTTTCAAATCTTGAGCCCAAGATGTTTCTAAAGAACCTTTGGTAGTTTTCTTATTTCTGGGGAACACAGTAGAATATCCACCAGGGTATCTTCCTCAACCTCAAGGTCCAGCACTTCCTTCTACATCTGTCAATTAGTTAGTTCCCACTGCTTACTAACCAATGATACACTAGAGGTACCACACTGGAGGAAGGACACAAAGCAAAGAAGCTATAATATATCCCATCAGGAAACACAGCCCTTGGGGAGAGAGGACCAAAGTAATTCGTCCACTCAAGCATTTACTGGACACTTACTTTATGCTAGGCAATGTGCTAAGTCGTGAGATTTCACACATAGTCCTTGCTCTCAGGGATCACAGGCTAGAGACAACATGAAAAGGACAGTTGGCAATGAGACCACATACAGTCAACTACAAACTGATTCTTGCCATACAGATCTATATAAGACTCAATTGCTCATGGATGCCAGACTCAACAAAGAGCGCAAGAAGTTTGTCATTTAGTACCTGAAGATAAAAGTGGCCTTTTCCCTACTCTCCTTCCACCATTCAAAGCTATTCAGCAAATGGTAATTCAGCCAGTGATCCTTTAAAGATGGCGAAGTTAGGGCTGGCCTGGTGGCGTAGCGGTTAAGTTCACGCGCTCCACTTCAGCAGCCTGGGGTTCCCGGGTTCGGATCCCTGGCGCAGACCTACATACTGCTCATCAAGCCATGCTGCGGCTGTGTCCCACATCCAAAACAGAGGAAGACTGGCACAGATGTTAGCACAGGGACAATCTTCCTCAAGCAAAAAGAGGAAGACTGGCAACAGATGTTAGCTCAGGGCTAATCTTCCTTACCAAAATAAATAAATAACTATAATATAATAAAATAAAATAAAGATGGCAAAGTTAAGGATTTTGAGGGGTTCAGGAGGAAACTACAGTTTTAGAAGCAGGTATATTTCTGTATTTTGAAAAACTACCTGTTAAAAGGAAGGTCCTGGGAATGTGGACATTTTCCTGGGAATGAATGTTTAAGTCCATCTAGAGCACAATAGTATTTGAACCTTTAGATTCCCTCTGACAACTATCCAAGTCCTGGCAAGGAAGGTCAGCCCTGGAATAGTTGTCTTCTGTATGTGAGCTGGCTTGTCCTGGAAAAGTTCTTTAGCCAACAGGCCAAGGACCTCTACTTTATTTTCTGGCTTCAAAAGAATACGGCCTGCAGTGCTATGAGACAGGCAATCTTCTCCATGGCAGAGAAGAGAGTGAGTGCCCTCTGAGGACAGAGCTCGTGCAGAATATCTTCCCATCATCACTCCGTGGATGTTTCTTTCCAGATCATTTGTTAAAAAGCCCTGGCCTGCAACTCCTGGCCAGAAAGTGAGTGTTCACTGCTTTCCAACTCACTGTTTATTTTAACTACTACCTGATCTTAAAGACATTCTCTTAGCTATAAAATAGTTCATAACAATAGAGCTCTAAATCTTCAGAGATTGTGTAATCGAAGGATATGCATCTCAGAGTGTGATGTGGCTCTCTGTGAGGCCTGAGAGGGCATATAAACTGTTAACAGTAACATCTGTGCATAAATCAATTAGAAAGCTGGTCAAAGACATTAATTTTTCAAAACTAAAACTCCTAAAGCCAACCTCTGCAGCAGGACTCCAGCATCTAGACTCCCATAACCAAATCCAAATGACCTGTCTCTATAGCTGATGAGGGTGTCTAAATTGGCCTATTTCTGGAGTCATCAAAGAGAAAACCACAAACACACACCCCTCAGCTAACTGTAATGCCTGCACTGACAGACCTCTCCATGTTGAAGATGCAAAGCCCAGAGCCAGATGATCCCAACCCACAGCCAAAAGATGAGTCCAGTTTTAATTTAGAATGCCTCTTTCATTCACTAATGAGGCTGCAGCTCACCAACAAAGGTGGAAGATGTTGGTAGTTGTCATGGTTCTTGGCTCTCTAATTAAGAGGATCTATTTCAAGTTATATACCAGTGTGGCTGATCTGAGTCTAACCTCATTCATCTCCCTCGCCTATTAATACA